GTTGTTTGTTTCAATTATAAGTTATAGACGACTTGGCATTCTTGTATGTTTAATTAAATTAAGTTAATATAGATTGCGTAAATAATTAAATGGTAGTAGTCGTAATCCGTTAGAACAATCCATTAAGTAAAATACAATATCGCCTATATTTCAGTATGCAAAAGAAATTAACACAAAATAATAAAAAATAAATTGCAAAAATATATTTGAAAGGCTAAATGTAATTGATTAAGTTGAATATTAATCAAGCACTTCATCAGGAGAATAAAATAAGCGTAGATCTACAAAATAATACATATGTGAAAAACTACGCAAATCTACACCACTCGCGATGATATACGAGTGTGAAAATTTTAGAGAAATTTTCAATGGTATAAAATAGTGTATTCTTAAAAATGACGTAGTTTTTTAATAGTAAAAAACAATATAGTTTTTAAACAGTAAAAATAATAAATTTTCTTCTTTATAATTCTTTTTCTAACTTTTCTTTACTTGTGTATTTTTCCAATATTTTTCTACATTTTGCTATTTTTTTTTTACTTACACTAAGAGTCGAACTATTAATTAGATTTTATTTATTTTTTTTTTTACCTACACTAAGAGTCGAACTGAATACCTCAAGATAAATTATTAATATATTAAGTCTCATTATCTAACCACTACGCTATTTATTCTTTTTTTNTATATTAAGTCTCATTATCTAACCACTACGCTATTTATTCTTTTTTTTTAATTATTAATATTATATTTCATATTTATCTTAGAATAAAGACATGCCTAAACCTTTTACCTTTGTATTTATGTATTTATATAATTCTTTTAGAGTGTAGATTACGAAAATATATTACCAAAGTTACCTATTTGTGTAAATTTTACATAACTTCAAATTTATTCAAAATATTTTTACATTTTCATGCGTGGGTTATGCAATATCATGTATTTATGCCAATTTCTAAAGTGTAGATTACTGAAACTACCTACTTGTGTAGAATTTATGAAACTTTTTAAGATACAAAATCGATGAAGTATTTCTTAAATCATTTTTATGTGTAGATTACTTAAAATCGTATATTTAAGAAATTTTTTCAAGATGTAAAACTTCGGAACTACCTATTCATGTAGAATTTATGAAACTTTTTAAGATGCAAAATAAATGAAGTATTTTTTAAATTGATTTTATGTGTAGATTACTTAAAATCATATATTTAAGAAATTATTTCAAGATGTAAAACTTTGAAACAACCCATTCATCAATAATTTATGGCACTTTTCAAGATATGCCTTTTTAAATAACCATGTTTAAGTGTAATTTATACAAAACCATATATTTATAGATTTTTACGGAGCGTAAGTTTCCAGGGATTATACATATTTGACAACTTTACGCTAATATTCGCCTCATATAATCTCCTGATGTTATTCATAGCAACCAAGTCACCAAGAATAAATATCTTTGTTTGTATTCTAAAATATATATTTTTTTCCTATATCTGATATTATTTATTGAAGCTTTAGATCGCTGTCCCTCAGCTAAAAAATGATAATGAACTGTTAATTTTTGAAGTATTTTTTTAAATGACAGTAATTAGGTAATAGAATTATTTGTTGAAGTTGAACCAACTGCTGCACATCATAAATAACGGATAAAGGAACAAAGGATTAGTTGTAAATTATAATTAACTTTTAATCAAACAATAGCGATATAAACAATTATATTTCATAATAAAAAATTTAATAAACAGTATATTTTATAAACGCAATGTTCTGTGCATTGTTTTGTGATGATTGATGCTATTTTTTCATTGCACTGTTTTGTGTTGCTTTCATAGAACAATATGATTTGGCATTGATCTGTGCTAGTATAAATTAATGTGCAGTTTCACATTCTCCCAGCTTCCTGATGTTGATGCAATATCATTGCATGGGAAAAAGTATTCAACAAGAATTTTCAATAGTTGGTTTAACTTCTATTTTGATTAAAATATTCCTTAGCTTCTTAGGAACTCATTGTTTAAAGACATAAATATAAAAATTACGCTAAATAAAGTAAATTTTGTAAATAATCTAATGGAAACAAATTTAGCAAATTAAATATCTCAGATAAAGATTCCAATCACAAATATTGTTCGTATATACTTTTACTAAAGTTCTATACTCTATAGTGTAAAGATAGAATGTGACCCATTTAAAATAATTGAAGCAAGGATGAATCAGTAGAAATTCTAATATTGCTAAATTTATTAAAAATACAATGCGTAAACCAGCAGGATATAGCAGATATAAAGTACTAGTTTACTAGTTACGACTTTCTTGAATGGCCATATGATAGATTTACAAATATAAAAGAAATTGGTGAAGGTGATTTTGCAAAAGTATATTCTGCAACTTGGATTGAGATGAAAGTCTTTTGAAAAGGTTAAATGGATCACGAAATACGTCAGACAAATATTTAAAAGAAGTACGTTGTTATTTCTAATTTAATTTAATCCCTGTAAAAAAAGCAGATCAGTTTTTTATATTCCGTAAAAGGCTTATATTTCCGGAATTAATAACCTCATATCACGGAATATTTTCATTTTCCGTGAATGGATCCATGAAAGGCTCATTTTTATAGAGTTTTTATAGAAATAATGGGTAAAATTTTTATAGATTGTTTAATATTAAAGAATTTGTTAATAATATTTTTATTTGAAAAATTTATTGTAACCATAGCTTAAGATACATTGAATTTATCTAAAGAGAGCGGATTAATGTTTTATGAATTAACTAATGGTCTAGAAACTAAAGATTTTATAATGATTACAAAACTTAAGGAAATTTGAGAAGTAATCTTTTAAATAATTTTAACAATATCAATATTATATGGAAAGATAAAATTCATTTATTGTTTGAGTCATTAATTGACTTACAAAATTTACATGAATTAGGATATTTACATAAAGATTTACATAGTGGAAATATCATACAATCTAGTGTTAGCTCATATATTTTAGAATTTGGATTATCTGGACCAGCAAATGAACAAAAATCAAATGATAAAGTATATGAAGTAATGCAATATATTGCTTCAAGAAATCTTATTCGGTGAATCATATGGACTCAGACAGAATTTAAATGAAAGACCAAGAGCTGAAGAATTAAAAAATATATTTAGGTTTTGGTATTCTATTAAAGGTAATAATGATGAAAAATAAAAATTCGGTTATGAAGAAAAAGAAATTAAAGCAGTATTTTGTGAAACTGATCAAGAAATTCCAGTAATTTATTATTATTGATTCATATACATATTAATGAGGAAAGTAATGAAGATATTAATTTTATTTTCAAAATTTATATTAAATTAAAATTTTAATAGTCACAAATAATTTAACTAATTTTGATGTTTTAATAATTCATGATTCTCAATTAGTCGACTTGGAAATTTCTAATGTAAAGACCCTGTAAATGGTAATTATAATTTACGGTGAAAGCAGTGTTTAAATTGAATATAACCCAGAATTTATACTTTTTTAGTCTTATAACTTTATTTTACAGATATTTACTGATTTATGTTAGTACAACGAGCCGCGTTCTTGTTTTTTTCATAAAAAAAATTTGAACATAGATATATTATCAGAAGCCAATAAAGGGTCAAATTTTATTGTATTAATCATTAATTATTGAGTTTATTTGTTTAAATATTTCAAAGTCATTAAATAAATGAAATAATTAAAAACAATTGATTAAAATAATTTTTTTAAAAAAAATAAACAAAAGAAATCTATTATAAAATTAAATAACTGTTTGAAGATGCTAAAATTTCTAATTATAAATTTCAACACTATTTTAACTTACAAAATAATATAATGCCTTGTTTTCACGCCAGATTCTTCGTCAAAATTTCAAATAACGGTCAAAAAACAATTATATAGAGTATAGCGTTTTAAAAAATGAGTTAGTTAATTAGAAAATTTTTCCTGTAAAAAAAAAAATTACAAAATTATTATAAAATAACAAGTAAATGAAAAATTCATACTGAAACTTACAAAACTACCGCCTACCGAAAACGATATCTAACATTACTTCTCGTCTATAAAATTAAAAAAAAAATAATATATATATATATATATACAAAAATTTTGATCATTAGTTAGGGAAAATTTTATATAATATTAATTTCACATATTTTATGTATTATGTTAACAAGATTTTTATTTCGTTGTCTCGCAACAAGTTAAAAATATATTTTATTAATACTCACGATATCATTCTAGCACTATTCTATGAAAGTGTAATCTAAGCGTGTTCGTTCTGTGTTCTAAAGTATGATCCAAAGTGTGATTCAAGGTCAAGCAGCAAATAGATTGGAAATTTCTACTAAAAGGATTGTTTATTAGAATGCACCAAAAAAAAGAAAAAATGTTTTTTATGTAAAAAAAAGTTGTGATCGGCGTGGCTTAGAAATTTTGTGTTTCATGATCAACATCGAGATCAACCATTTTTGAAAACGGCTAAGGCTTTAAAGTTTTCATATTATGCACAACTGCATGACTATCATTTTTTCTTCTTTAATATGAGCCATATCAATCAAAAATTTTTTTAATCGAGTATGACTATGAAAGTTAATTCATTCATATTCATGAAATTAATGACAATAACAATAATAAAAAAAAAAAATATTACGTTTATGGTATTACCATTTCTTTATATAAAAAAATATAATAACCGTACATGTATATTATGATGACAATGTAATACAAATAAAATTTTCATTTCGCCTCGAGTTCTTTAAAAACCTTGTTTTACAATTGCTACTACTGACCCAGAATGATCTGCATTAGAATGAATATTCAAATTTAAATAATGTAAGTTAATTGGACGGAACTACTTATTATGCAAGCCCTAATAAAATTTGTTGGTGGCTTACGTATTGTAGAGAAAATTATTTAACCTATTAAAGGATTATTACTCAGTATGGTAACTATGAATTTCCTTTTTAAAAGGAAGATCTGATTCTCGTAATGACAATTTTTCAAAAGAATGGATTGAGAATGAGAAGAATAGCCGGACGACAGGTAACAATTGAAAGAATAGATTGAAGATCTTTAAAAGAAATGAAAAGAGATTATTTAATTAAAATTTAGCATCATTGATGATAACAATGAAAATTTCTATTCAAGGGAATTTGGTAAGTCAAAATAATGTAAACTAAAAATAGAAAATTTCGAATTCCAAAACTATATAAACCCTCACTCTTCTCCCTTCAAAAAACTCTCCAGTTCGATCTGAAATAAATTAAAAAGTTCGAAATCAAAAATAAAAATAAAAGGTCTAAAATTCAATTATGAAGTTAACAATAGCTATTTGTTTGGCAATTTTGGGAGTTTCAACCCTTAATGAAGGTGAGTATAAAACTTGATTATAAAGAATACAAGTAAAATGTTTTTTTCTAATTCATTTTATATATATGTAGTTACTGCTGCTCCTACTCCTAATACCGGGATTGGATTGAATGATAAACGTGACGAGTCACCTTCTTCATATTATTATGATGATAAGAAGAAGGAAGACAAAGATGATTATTATTATTACTACTACGATCATAAAAAAGGGAAAAAAGAACATTCCTACAAAAATGATAAAGACGACTACTACAAGAAAGATGATCACTAAGACAATGACAAGAAGTATTACAGACGTGATGCCTTAGCTTCACCAGATGATTCCTACAATGACGATTACTACAAGGGTGATGACTACAAGAATGAGTACTACTACGAGAAAGATGACCACAAATACGATTACCACAAGAAAGATGACCACAAAGACAAGGACAAGAAATACTACAGACGTAATGCCTTAGCTTCACCAGATGATACATACAATGACGATTATTATAAGGATGATGACTACAAGAATGAGTACTACTACGAGAAAGATGACCACAAATACGATTACCACAAGAAATATGACCACGAAGACAAGGACAAGAAATACTACAGACGTGATGCCTTAGCTTCACCAGATGATACCTACAATGACGATTATTACAAGGAAGATGACTACAAGAAGGAGTACTACTACGAGAAAGATGATCACAAAGACGATTACCACAAGAAAGATGACCACGAAGATAAGGACAAGAAATACTACAGACGTGATGCCTTAGCTTCACCAGATGATACCTACAATGACGATTATTACAAGGAAGATGACTACAAGAATGAGTACTACTACGAGAAAGATGATCACAAAGACGATTACCACAAGAAAGATGACCACGAAGATAAGGACAAGAAATACTACAGACGTGATGCCTTAGCTTCACCAGATGATACCTACAATGACGATTACTACAAGGATGATGATTACAAGAATGAGTACTACTACGAGAAAGATGATCACAAAGACGATTACCACAAGAAAGATGATTACTACAAGAAAAATAAAAAAGATGACAAGAAATCTTCTTATTAAAATTTTTAAAATAGATTTCTATATATAATTTATCTACTAATTAATTACCTTTCAGAATTTTAATTTGTTTCAAATTGTTTTTTTTTTATTGTAAAAAATCGAAATTATGTGAATAGTTTTTTTATCTGTATATTTTTAAATAGTTCCCTTCCCCTTCCCCTTCCCTTCTCATATATTTAGTAAAAGAAAAGATTATACTGTATTAGTTACTATAAATATAATAATCTATTTGTATAAAATTAAAATTTTTAACATATTAATATTACTATATTGTCTAACTTATTGTACTAGAAAATGAAAGAACACGAAAGAACACAAATAATTTTATCCAAAATAATTTCTATTCACTATTAATTTTAACTTACCAACTAGATTAGGTTGATGTGTGGCGATTTCGTCGCCATCAGATAGATTGTTGAAAATTATATGTGATTAGGCCTTTATTCATGATTATTTTATTGGGTATTTGCTAAATCTCACCAGTGATTATCACTGTTGTAACTGAAATTGAAATTTAACTGAATTTAAAATTCAGTCAACTTTTCCAGAAATTCCCATATCTGAATTTTAAATTCAGTTAAATTTCAATTTCAGTCACAACATCACCACGGTGATTCTTAATTATGGCCAAAAATTACAATTTGGCCGGAGTTATAAATGCCGGTTTATAATTTTGGCCAGAATTAAAAAATACTGATCACAAAATTTTAACTTAAATAATAAATATGTTAACAAATATTGACCATGACAAATTTTTAAAATTTGTTAAAAAAAGCTTTTAGTAAAGTGAAAAATTTTAAAAATCAAAATTTTGCATTTTTCTCAAAAATTATCTGAAAACAGCCTTTTTGACCTTAGACAAATCTCTTCTTCTTGTAAATTTACATATAGAATAACTGTTTAATATGTGTAGTTGATTATTTAATTTAATATTAATCTTATAAAAAATCGGACTAGTGAAAATCACCAATGGTAACAATCACTACTGATTTTATTTACTATAAAAAAAAATTGTAATTCCAAAAACTATAAAAGTTTGAAATAAATAATAGCAAAATTTATTCATTTTATTTCTAAAATTGATAAAAATTTTCGCGGACAGTCACTGTTTATGGTTCATAATTATGCTACGCCTCTACCCTTTAAGACTTAGGGTTCTGTACCTTTGCTATTATAGCATTCTGAATTATCAAGAACTCATTACAAAGAGAGAACTACCATCAAGATTGTATGTCACGTTAAAGAAATTTCTTAAAACTTTCTTCTTAGCGCTTGAGCAACTTCATATGTCTGTTTAGGAAATATAGTGATACTATATTCTTTAACCGACATAACAAACATTTTGATTAATGAATTAAGAGGTTTGCTTCCATAAAATTTTTAATCCTAGTGCTGATGTGATTTCTATACTGGCGTAATTTTATTTCGTACTAATATAATTAACCTGAGAATATAAATAAGAAAATTCATACATCATTTACCATTTAGAGGTTGGAACCGGTCCAAAAAGTCTTAACCAGTTAATAACCGGTTAACCAACCCTTTACAGCAAATTTTTGACGAGAGTTGTCAGGTTGTTGGATTGAATCAGCCCAAAATTGAGTCACGTGATATTTGTGTTCGTTATTTTTTCAATTAGCCGACAATCCGACAAGTCGGCAACTTTCGGCAAACTCATCCTAGCCAGCATTAAAATTCGGCCAGAATTAGCAGATATATTTTTAATTCCTGCAAAATTAGGCCACTGTCAGTTCGAAACGAAACTCTGGCCGAAAGTCGAAATTCAGGCTGACACTATGAATTCCGGCCCGCATTATGAATTTTATACAAAAAATTCCTTTTATCCGAAGTCCCGTGATTTATAATTCTGGCCGGCACCTAAATTTGGCCAGAATTACAAAGTATTTTCAGCATTTACAGAACTAACGTGTGAACGATAAATAATAGTAAGTGGGAAGATTAAGTAATGCATGATTTTGTCGTTTTGATATTATTTTGTTAATATGTTTTCGTGAGTTGAAATACGAGATTCAAAGATACTTAGGGGAAGCTATCGCAGTTTGAAAGTTATATTTAGGATTTTGGAATTTTAATAATGAATTTATGAAAGATACAATACGTGAGATATTGTTAAGTATGGAAAACTATCGAAGTTTGGAATTGTAAATTATGAGTAATAAGAATTTGATAATGTTAAGGGATTTTGGGATTAAAGAATATTAATTTTTTATTAGTTTTATTTTAGTTCTCATTATATTTTATTAAGAACCAAGCATGAATTCGGGATAATTTTAGTTATTTTGTATATTTTATTATTATGAATAAAGATAACAATGTTCAATGACGTGGTGGCAAACGTGCGTAAGCAGGGCGCGTCATTACAGTACCAAGTTGTCTCTCGGTATGTCCCGTATATTGTAATCAGCTGTAATCGGTTAAAAATTGATTTTACGTAACCGGTTAACAAATGTCTTACCTCTAGATTATATTTTTATTATATTACAAGGTGTAACCCGTTTATACTTGCCGCCCATTTACCAAAAAACAAAGAAATTCATTATAGCAATCTATTGTTATAGAAAAAAAAAAATATCTCATTAATTAATATGAAAAATAAAAAAATTCCAGAACAATTTAATTATAACGATCTATTGTTAATAAATAAAATAAGTAAATTACGTCAGTCTATTGAGCTTGATACAACCTAAAAAATAATACTATTATTAATAAGAATCGGCAGTTGCCGTGGCGCAGCCCGCAGCATCGGACTTTCCCTGTTTCCCAGCGTAACCTGAAAAAAATGTCACGAAAAATCACGTGACTTTGATTTGTCACAACCGTCACACCCACTGCGTTTCCATTTTCTATAAGTATTTGAGGGATAGTTTTTTCGAGTAGGTAAAAACTTATTCGTCACTCCTTATTCGTCACACGTGCGCCACACTTAATTTCAGTCAAGTTGCATTTTGTGACATTTTTTTCAGGTTACGCTAGGGAAGTTGCAGCATCGACGATCCAAACCTAAATAGTGAAAGAATGTCGGAAACCGGCAAAAAATAAAAATAAAAAAATTAGCCGAAAAAGAAAGAAAGAATAAAAAAAAATTCGAAAGAAAAAGAAAAAAAATTTTGGGAAATATTACACAATACGGTTATTACACGTGTATTTTTTTTAGTTATATAAAATGGATTATAAATATTATATTGCAAGTATGATGAAATATGATGATTATTAATAAATGAAAAATGAAAAATGATTAATTTCTAATTTTAGTTTAGAAATTGTTTTTTTTCTTTATTGTAATAATGTTTTTCCCTTTTTTGAAAAATAAAAAAGATTTCACTTTGAATTTATGGCCTTTTATAAAGCATTTTATATACAATTAAAGTTCCTAGAATAAATGCAATAAATTCCCATCTTTGATTTTTAAAAAAGTACCAAAATCAAACTTTAAACCATTATTAGGAAGATGCACTGTTTGTTACATGAACTGTTTGTTGTTTCTTTAGGATTTTTTTGAATTCTTATGATGAATTCTTTTTTTTTTTACAATCAGACTTTTAAAAATTACGCAAAATGGTTAAATTTTTTTACAGATATCGCAACTATGTAACGTAAAGAAAAAAGTATTGTAACGTAAAAAAAAAAATTTTTTATTTTTTGTTAGTTCTACTACTGTATTTAGTTAGTTTTAGTAACTTACTGCAGTTAGTAATAACTTTCTAGAAATCATTGTTTTTTTTTCTACTACATGTAAATTTAATAGAGTATATATATGGGTGATTTCGTGGAAGGATAAAATTATTTCTTTTTACAAAAAAAAAGAAGGATAAAGAATTATGAACCAAACAAAATCAATCCCTCTAAGTGGAAATGATGTTATTGATAATTTTATCAGACACACTTTAACTAGAAAAGAAGGGAGAATGGAATTTGTTCCTTACGAAAAATTTAAGGATGTAGAATATATTGCCGAAGGAGGATTTAGTAAAATCTATAAAGCGACTTGGATCAATGGTCCAATAACTAATTGGAATGATGTGAACCAACGTAAAGGAGAAATGACAGTTGCTCTCAAGGAACTTTCTAATTCTAAAGATATAACTTCTAATCAATTAAATGAGGTAAAACATCTTATTATAATTTTTTAATTATTAATCAAATAAAAAAACAAACAATTTAATAATATTAATTTTTTAGCTCAAGATATTTAATTATGTTTCGAGTCGTGAATGTTGTAAGCATTTGGATTTTATAATCAACACATATTATGGAATTACCCAACTTCCTACTACCCAGAATTTTTTGATAATCACAAAATATTGCGAATACGGTGACTTATCGAATTATATAACCAATAATTTTTACAATATGGACTGGGGAATAAAGTTACAAATCTTGTATTATATGATACTTGGGCTTAAAACTATACATGACGCAAATGTAATTCACAAAGATTATCATAGTGGTAACATTTTTATAGATATGAAAAATGATAATTTATTACTAGCGACAACAGGTGATTTAGGACTAAGTAAATCATCACTAAATGATGATGAGGATAATGAAGTATATGGTATTATTCCCTATGTTGCACCAGAGGTTCTTCAAGGACAAAAATATACTAAAGCTTCAGATATTTATAGTTTCGGTATGATTATGTGGGAATTAATGACAGGTAGAAGACCATTTTGGGATCGAAATCATGATACCGATCTTATTATTGAAATATGTGATGGTCTTCATCCTCCAATTGTTACAAACGCACCTGAAGATTATATTAAATTAATGCAAAGCTGTTGGCATTCGGATCCAAATAAAAGACCAACTGCAGCTAAACTGCAAAAAAATGTTGAGAATATACTTTTTCAAGAGCCATTTAATAAAACTAAATCTATTATATCAACAGACATTGGACCTAGAATAACACATAGCATATACAAAAGTGGTTCTTTAAGTGCAATGGTAGAATCTGTAGAATCTACTAGAAGCTTAAAAGT